TCCCATCCGGTCACATGGGTGGCAAGCCACTCCCACAAAGGAGGCCACACCCACAGAGTAGGTTCGAACAATTTTTGAAACCCACCACTGGTGGGTTCACATGTTGCACCAAGCCAACTATGGCTTCCCAACCAACCTGGCTGAGTTACTACATACTAAGACAAAACCCAAGGAAGCTACAGTGTATAAATTCTGCCTTCCCATCCAGTCCAGGATTTATGCAGACAGATTTTTTTTCAACCCTCTTTTATAAATGTACTTCTCACTTTCATGCTGTATGTGGAAGTGTTTTCAAAAGTATTTTTAACCAAGGCAAACTCTGTTGTGTTTTAAATGCAAAAAAAGGGCCTGTTTTCCACCCCCAAACAGTGGGGAAATATGTAGAATGCTTGTTTGCGATTATTTTTAACTCTTCTAAAACAGAAAGCAAATACAATTCTCGATACTTATTGTTCCAGCCTCAATAACCGAGTTATGTCTGTATGAGGTCTTAACACAGAGACCAAAATATACTTTCCTTGCAAAACTCAATGCAAGTTCCCACAATGCAGCCGCCTCAATCTTGGCTTAACAGGATGTGATTATAATGTTCACATAACCCGGGATGTTCTAACAAGTACATCATATGGCGGCTTCAAACTGTGCCTTAGCATATTTGGCCACACTGAATCACCAACTACCCAACTCCAATTTATTGTATGGTGTGAGCCAGTCAATAACTGTGATCTATAATTTTCTTGGAATTAACTGTTCAAAAATCATGTAGTCTTAGGAAATAATCACCTTTCTCTCTCCTCTTCTGCTGAAACTGGGAATGTCCAGCTTTGTAGATATCAAATCGAATAAAGTTCTCGACAGGCATTGAGTTTCATCTCCACACATCGCTCCGGTTTTCACACCAAATATTTCGTTTCTCCTAGCATAAGTGGAGAGCTTTGCCATGATTAATGCTGACTTTGACCCACGATGATCCCTTTACATAAGGTTCCCAATCTGGCCTTTGCATCAATCCCTATCATCGATCGATTCAGGTGGGTTGAAGCTAAAACATACAAAGAGGCGGTTGTAGGAATTCAGTATATCCAGTGCAGTGAAAAGAAGGACTAAGGGAGATATGACAAGGGGTTGCCAAACCACAATTGCCAGAAATTTGGACAGAGGTATTAGGTCCCTGGAAATGCCAAATGTTTGCTTTGGCATCACTTTACATTACCCCACAAGGAAAGGAAAGTAAGTTGAACTGATCTTAAGAAATTTCTACATGCAACATCAAGTTTTCGCAGTCAGAACAGGGAAGCGTGCAAAAATGCTAGTGGGCTAGCCTAAAGAAGAAAATGAGATTACTAATATGTAAATGATGAATAGATCCAAAACTAAGTAAATAAAAATAGGCAAATTTTGAAGAGGAAGCTAAAGCCGAACACTAACCATTCATCTTATGGCTTTATTTGAAGTGCAATTCTAGAAGAGAATTGACACGTTCCCCTCCCCACCCCATCCCCGCCTAAACTTTTGGACTGGCAAAAGATAAGGTTTATCAAGCAACAAGACTGAAGATGCAGAAATTCAAAATATCTTCAGGCAAATTATAACAGTGGTCACCAACTGGTGGTCTGCAGAAAAATTATTTGCATTTTTTATATTGTACTAAATCAGGGGTCCTCAAACTACGGCCCCTGGGCCAGATAGCAATAGCAATAGCAGTTAGACTTATATACCGCTTCATAGGGCTTTCAGCCCTCTCTAAGCGGTTTATAGAGTCAGCATATTGCCCCCAACAACAATCCGGGTCCTCATTTTACCCACCTCGGAAGGATGGAAGGCTGAGTCAACCT